TAATCTCGTCATGTAAATGTATATGTAATGTATACTATAATTATAGTATAATTCTTAACGTCGAGACACTAGAGATACTGTGAGAGACCTCTCGATTAGTCTGATAAATATACCTAATTTTGAATAAATAAAACTGAATAATTAATACGTACATATAAATATAATTTTTTTTGTATTAACGAGAAATGAATAAATATTTTTTATTTGGTTTGAATAAATATATTTATGAATATAATTTCGAATAATTTTGATTTCGTATTTACTCCCACTCTGCAAAAATTATAACTATAATATTATTTGATTCATTCCTTATAGTAAAAGAATCGGCAATAGTTTTCATTTCCTTTTCGGTATAATTATGTTTCTCGAACTTTAACCAAGCTAGAAGACAGAATATTTTATGCACTATATCAGCAGTTAAGCGATTACGCTTGATAATAAGAAAGACAAGCCATTATAAACATTCTATACGCTTGCATCAAAAGCTGACAGATATAGTCTGGTAACCTAAAAGTAGAATAAACAAATCTTCTATCTAATCTTATATCTAAATTTAAATTTTAAGTAGAAAAGTAAAGTTGATACAACAGAATTTAGTATGAAAGCGGTAAAATGAATGATCTTTCATCACTAAAAGCGTATTTAAATATTGATTACAGATCATTAATTACGTTTAAGGGAAAAGAGTTGCTTATTGAAGTTTTCTTTTTTAGTTTACATTTTGTTTGAATAAATATGAATTATACTCGTAAAATAATCATAAAATGTTTATAAATACATATATATTTTTGAAAATTCAGTTTTAAATAAATACATAAATAAATATTTTTTATAAAATATATTTTATGAGAAATATTTTTTGAAAAATTTAAATGAAGCAATTTGTAATTCAATTACGAGTTTTTTTATTTATATCACTATACTCTCGACTAAAAAAATAATCTATATACATATCATCTATATACAATATATATATTTATTTAAAATACATTTCAAAGTATGTTTAAAACGTTTATAAGATTTTTCGAGTGACATTGTATTAAAACTTTCGAGAAAAATATCTTTTATAAAATATTTTATTAGAAAATGTGTATAGCTAATATATTTATATTAGCTATAATATTTCTTGATTAAAATACATAATCTGACTAGAATATAATAAAAATTTTTACTGTCAATTAATCTGGCACTCCAGTATTTTGCGTTATTGGCATGCTGGTTTAAAGACCGTGGTATTAAAATATATAAATAATAAGACATAAGCAATAAACGAATTGCCTAAATACAATTGAAAATTGTCGAAAATTATGTATTTATTAGTTTAACATTTTTGGCTTTGGTGTGTGTGTTCTTTTACTACTAAAATTTGTTTATATATTTTTTCTATATAGTTCTTGTCTATATATAAAAAACATTCTTATATAGTTTAGAGTTAGACTTTAGATTGCCTAGAATATCTCGTTGGTTTTTATTTTTTATCGTTAAATCTGTTATCTTTAAAGATATCATTGTTATTTGCTTTCCGATTCAAAAAATAGCTTCGAATTCTTTAAGTATCTTTGTTATGATATAAAAATAATGCATCTAATAAAAATATTCTTTTCTATATTTTGTAGAAGTTCGCCGCGTAGAACGTAAAAATTAAATTCTTATTTTAGAATGACAAATTTATGAAATAAAAAAAAATGTTTCCGCCCGGGATCGAACCGGGGACCTTCCGCGTGTTAGGCGGATGTGATAACCACTACACCACGGAAACTCCTCGAAGATACAAGCTTATTTTACGTATTTTCGATAATATCTTGAAATTATTTGGAACACTCGTTGCATGTTACGTGCTGTTATCCAATGTTCATTATCGATGAAAAAAAACAAAGATATTACTGCCTTAATATTTACAACGCACTGTATTGCTAAAAATATCCCAATTTGTCCACTACATACCGTACATTGTAGTCATGCACGATTCAAATTATCGACGCTTGTGTTATTTCGTGTTAAAATTTCTATCTATATTAAGTATAATCGCGATGCCTCTTCGGTTCAAATAATTCAACGTACATATAAAGCAACAATAAAATTATACGTATATGGGATCGTAAATGTTGTAAATATAGATAATTTCGCAACAGTAAAAGTCATCTAGAATGAAGGTTTTTATTTCTATATTATGTTCATTCTATATTATCAATTTATCATAACTTCAAACACACAACAAAATAAATATTATTTAAAAAATCTATAAAACAAGTGTAATAATGAACTTTGCGAAATTTTTTTCGAGATCAATTAACAGAAGATGTGCATAAGACGCAATAAAAAATATCGTGTAAACGATCCATCAAGCAATATATATATGTATCTCTCGATTAGTTTATTCCATATCGACTGCTTTGGTTTATCTCCGATTAAATCGATTCGCTCTCTAGGAAAAAATGATCCGTATTGCGATATGTACTTCGTCAGAACATTGTAAGCTAGATTTCGTATGTTTTCGATAGAATCATGAAAAGAGGTGAATCAAAATGAGTTAAAAAGTTCCATCATCGCATAGTTTCACCGTCGATTCCGTCATCGACCGTGTTATAATACTTGCTCCGACTTTCGCGCATAAATATCATTCCATTCTAGATTTCGCAATTGGTAACGCTTATATCTTGGATTTTATTTTTAACGGCAGCAATCATATTTTTTTGTGCGCAGAACGTCACATGGTCTCGAGAATAAGGATCGTTAAGCGAGAAACGATTCAAAGTTCCTAAAACGAAGTTATTAGAATAAGTTAAAATATCAGCCTATAAAAGATGCCGAAATGAACAAATCATCAGTTTTTGTTTACAAAATTTATTAACGCTACATTTCGTAACGAAAATTGCGAAGTTCATTCATTATGCTTTTGTTGTAGCGTTGGGAGTGAACTTATCCTTGAACGAATACATTTAAGTATTTTCAAATTGTACTGTAAAGATTTAATCTCATTTTAAATCCTAGGTGATCTTTATCTCCATGCGCGTATACTTGGCTCGAGACACTACCGTGTCTTTCGATAAAGAATTATAATTCGCAGGTTTTTTTTAGATTTTAGGATAAGATTTTTTTCTCAAACAAGTAAATATGATATTGTAATCGGCCGATGACGGTCAAGCAGGATTTTGGTTGCTAATGTATTGTGTGAATTTTATTTACCACGTATGTAGTCCCCTCAATCGCGTGCCGGAATTTTATCAGATTTACAACGCAAATCTTATCAACTAACGTAGTAATATCACTTATAATTAGATAAATTGCTTGTATCAATTTAAATAATTGTAAGTGATATTACTATCGGTAGTTGATAAGATTTGCGTTGTAAGTCTGAACAAATTTCGGTACGCGATTGAAGGGACTACATACGTGGTAAATAAAATTCACACAATACATTATGCAACCAAAATCCTGCTTGACCGTCATCGGCCGATTACAATACCATATTTATACTTATTTTTCAAATCGACGGTCCAACACAAATTCGTAATTTTATTTGTTATATATTTTATACATGCATTTCTGATTCTGCGAATGTTTTTCGTACAAAATCATAAATTCTATCTTGAATTTTAATATAAATTAGGTATAGATCGCCTAAAGTAGACTTAATAGAAAAAATCCTTACTTGAAATAGGCTTAATTTGAATTCTCTTATAATAATGAAATAACGATAATTTAAAATATTTCATGAAATTTGATAAGATAAAATCTCTATAACTATGAGATAATTAAAGTTCTTATTCCGCTCGGAGGTATCGGTCTAATTTTATTTTAGACATAAGTGTGTCCTGTCAAGGGTACTGATTATACATATAAGTTTCTCTAGGACGGAAATGTGAAAAGTACAAAATTTTTCTATAAACTTTAACGAGAAATTTTTTACTTTTACATTTCCGTTCTAGAGAAAAAGGTATCATAAGGTCTGTTTTCTATAGCTTAACTATATAGCACATATACTATATAGTTTTGAAACTTAAAGAGAAATAAATATAATGTTTAATAATGTTTAATATTTGACGAAAGCGAGAAAGACACAGAATGTTTACTTTTATTAAAATCCTTTTAAAAAAAATCTTTAAGAGAATTCCAGCGCAAATTTCCCTCGAATTTTTCAGATTTTTATTCAAAATTTTAAGTAAAATTGGAAAGAAAAATGTTTAATACAAAATTTTGAAATAAATTTGAACGCAAGCAATTAACACAAATAAACTATATATATTGTAAATATTGAAAATTAATAGAAGACAGGATTTTCAAGAAACTATATTTTACTATTTTCTGTCATTAGAGAATTGCAAAATCTATAGAATAGTATAGAGAAGAGTCATTACAAAATAATGAGCTCTTTTCTGCTGAGTATTGTTTTAAGTAAAAACTCGCAAACACACAATGCACTTGAATGCATGCCGGATGTGCACACAATACTTATTGCTGATTGTTAAAATTGCATTATCAAGCAAATCTTATTAAACAAATATTGTTTTTTTTTCCAAGAGACAGAAATTAAATTTAAAAGTAAAATTCCAAAAATTTCTCTGAGTGCACTGATAACATTTTACAAAAAATTCTTGATTTTCAAGGATAAAGAAGAAATCTTCTTCTGAATATTCCAGGTTTTCCAGATTTTCTAGATAACAAATACACACATTCTGAAAAGGATCCGATATTGTTTAGTACTTTAGTGCAAGGATAAAAAATAGATCTTATGCTTGCTACCTAGAAAATTGAACAAACAACAGCCCTGAGCGATGCACATAGAAAATAAAACGCGTGATTGGTCGCCGTGACGATTCAGTGTGTGCGCACGTGCGCGTACATACACGTTGTTAATGGATTAATGCCGAATATTGCCGAGCATTGCCGAAGCCATAAATTGCGTTTTCCGGGATGGAAGCGGTTCTTGGAGTACAGCTTACAGCGTATTCGTCAGACGTCATTCAGCCGTTGGTGTCGATAGGTGTCGGGAAGTCTATTTGTGATTAATTTGATCGTTGATAATTGAATTTAATCGACAACCCCCAACTGCGTATAATTTCATATTGTGAAATCTTCGGACTGGCGGAGCTACGAAACATCGTGGAAACATGAAGGAGATCCTGATCGCGCTCAGCGCGATTCTAGCTGGTGAGTTTACTTCCCACCTGTATTTTCTATTTCCGTTCTACTTTTTCTCCCTATCTGATGGTTCTCGTAATGGGATGAAAGTGATTTCTGCCTTGCGTTATCTCGGTTTCGTATTACTCTCGCGACAATCCCGCTCTAATGCGCACTTCTGTCTAGAATATTTTTTGTTTGGCAACTCGTGCTTACGCACACATAATCTATAAATGTAAACTCGGCCTCGTATACATTGTGACGTTGCGAATCATTGCGGGTGTACAGTTTTATTACGAGTGACCTTTAGTTTTATTTTTGAACGATGTTTAGCGTCCAGCTCATCGTTCTTGACTTTCATCGGCCTCTTCTTTCATCTCATTCCAACTGTCATCAGTCATGAATCTTCCTCACTCGCAACCTTTTCTTTCACTCTTTTGTTGTTGCGTTCTCTGATCGTCTCTCTCTTTCTCTCTGTCCTTCTCGCGTTGCCGGATAATCACGTTTCCATTACTCATTGCGAAGAAACTCTAGGATGAATAGGATGACTCAGTTGATTTGAGCTTGTAATTTGTTAATTTAGATGGAATGTATTGATGATGGAATTGCCCAATTACATTTTGATAATAACAATGATAATGACTTACAATAATGTTCTTGATAATGCTTATCATCAAATGAGTAATTCTCAAGTGTTTTCTTGGTATTGTTTTAAAATTCTATATTACTGATTGTTGAATTGTTTATTTATTTCCATGATTGTACCAAATATAGCAGACATAGAAACTGTGAATACAAGGCAACGAGTGCTTCCTGCCTTAGGGATTATTTATTGTTTCAAGAAGTTGAGAACTAAGCCAAACATTTTGTTTTTTAATTTTCTCTAGACCTTCTTTATAAGATTTAATTTTTAAGAATGAATCTGAAAATTATATATAAATGCAATTTTCTAATTTTCAGTAACTGCAGCTAGAGTGGTCATAACTGCTGATCCAAAAGATGGTCTTTTAGGTAGAGATGAATGTACATGGGGTCCAAGTTATTGGTGTGAGAACCTAAAGTAGGTTTTAATAATTTTAATTCAATATATATTTTTTCTGCATATTGAAAAAAATAGTAAAATAATGAAATAGTTTTATGAAACATTTAAAATGCATTTATTATATATTTATAATATATAGTATGATTATTAAGTAGACAGTGATGATAATGACGAAACATCGAAATTAACTTTTTATATCTTTTATAATTAATTTTTTTATAATTAATATAATTAATATAACATTGTAATAATGTAGTTACTCCTATTAATAGGACAGCTAAGCAATGTAGCAATGTCAAACATTGTATTCGTCAATATTGGGAACAGATGGAAGTTCCAGAAGATAATGATAGTGTATGTGGAATTTGTAAAGATATGGTAAGACAGGCACGGGATCAGTTAGAAAGTAACCAGACTCAACAAGAACTGAAAGAAGTCTTTGAAGGAAGCTGCAGATTAATTCATATTAATCCAATTGTTGAAGAATGTATTAAAATTGTGGATCAATTTATCCCTGAACTTGTGGAAACATTGGCATCTCAAATGAATCCGTCTGTTGTTTGCTCTGTCGCAGGATTGTGTAATAATGCTCATATAGATAAGTTACTTACAGAGTATCAAACTTCGATAAAGGTAAGGACATTGTCAATTCTATTTTATTATTTCATTATACCTTGTTTTATTATATTGCCTTAAGTTATGTGTGTGGATCAAAACTTTCAAACTTGATTTCATTATAATTTTAATTTTTATACGATGAGATTGTAAACCTCCTCCTTGTCTAACTTCTATTCTAGAAGAAACAATTAAGTTAGATTTTTTTAAACTATTATTATTTAGAATTTCTGTTTTCCAAATTATAACTTTTGTTTATTGTTAATTATGTTGAGATTTGTTTTGCAGAATTTGTTTTTATTAAAATATTTTTACATTTGAAATAATGCATTCTTAATAGTGAATTCGATTGGATGCACTAGTGCGCACTGATGCATATACACTAATTTAATTTAGCTATAAAAATGAAATAAAAATATTTTATATCATATACATATTTTACTTAACAGCATAATAAAATATATTGTGGACAGTTTCTGTATTTATATTAAACATATATTTTTATAGCAATTTGTGTACAACGGCTTTAGAATGTACCAGTGCACACCAAATGCAATTCAATTGAATTTGCTATTATATTATACATAGGGGAAATTGCTCAGACTATTCTGGACTAAGTTATCTAAAATACTATTTTTTGTGCATTATTTAAATTTGCACTTATTATTGAATGATTTATTATTGAATTTATTATTATTATTGAATGATTTATTAATATTTATATGTGTGTAATAAAATATATACATACATACAGAATGTACATGAAATGTCAAAACCTTTCAATACATTTAGGAAAATTAATATTTCTGAAGGAATGTTTACTTTCTGATTTTTTCATATATTTTGTATGTATGAATATATATGAGAATATTAATGAATGCTATTTACAGCAGATTAAGCCCCACTAATCTAATCTAAATTATTCAAACATTTATATATATATATATATATAAAGGTAGATGTATAAAAATAATATTTATTAATATTTTTACATATGTCCATTATCTATATATTCATTATTTTATTTAATTGATTATTGCAATAAAAAAGTTTATAAATGTTATATCGAATTTTATATCTACTTTATATCTATATTTGATAAATAACAGTGAATAAGGAATGTTGATATGTGTCAGTATGATTAGTAAAGTAAAATGACTGTTGATAAAGTGTGTGTTATATTTTTAGAAGGACGAAACAAAATTAGTTGTATTAAAGAATGATGAACTCGAGCCTGACGAGTGCACCAAATGTTATACGATAGCAAAGTATATGGAAAATAAATTGCATCGTACACCGCAGAATACAATGCTTCTACAATTTTTGAATATTTGTGGTCAACTCAGCTCTTACTCGGATTCCTGTTCAGCCATTGTTATGGCTCATTTTGATACCATTTATAACCATCTTCAAGATAATTTTAATGCGGATAACATATGTCATTTATCAGGACAGTGCAGCAGCAAATATCATAAACATGAAAATAGTACAGTAAGTATAACATATATATATATATATTAATAATATCTATTTAGCTCAATTTTGTTTTAATATGTATTGCAATAATAGGTTCCACAAGTAGAGATAACACCATTGTCAAGTGTAGGCATGGTAGAAGTTGGAGATGATCTCCCATGTAAGTTATGTGAGCAACTTGTGGGTCATTTAAAAGATCTTTTAGTTGCAAACACGACGGAGATAGAATTTAAAGAAGTTCTTCTAGGTCTTTGTAAGCAAACTAAATCTTTCGCCGATGAGGTTTGTATTTTAAATAAATAGTTACATATTTTTTTATTTCATATGTATATATAATAATGGCGATCATTTCTAGTGTAAAGCCATAGTTGAGGAGTATTACGCACAAATTTATGAATATCTTACAAAAGGACTGAATAGCAATGTTATCTGTCAAATGTCTGGAATTTGTCCTAGTCCTGATAAAACGGTGCAGGTAAGGATATATTATTGCATTTTATAAGTAATAAAATATGCTTTTGTAGATTAAAAAATCTGATTATATTTTGTTTTATGTTAAAATAGGGACCAATTTGGCCTTTGGTTCCAGTAGAAGTAGCAAATATAGGATTGAAAGTAATGGAAAAGATACAACCTCGAAAAGGAGTGGTTGAAGTTACTATTGGCAAAGAATATCCAAAATCGGAAGCTGAAGAGATGCAACTACCATTTGAAAGATTGATGCCTTTTCCTTTAGTACAATCTGAAAGTGTTAATGGAATGAAAGCATGTGTATTCTGCGAATATTTGTTACATTATATTCAAGAAGCTATTACAAATCCTATAACTGAGGTAACGAGAATATTAAATTTTGTGAAAAAAAAAAATATATTATTATATATATGTAAACATAAAACAAAGTCGTATTTATAAATACATTAAAATTTAAGGAGAAAGTAAAAGAATTTCTTGGAAAAGTATGTACAAAGGTACCTTCTTCCATTAAAGGCGAATGTGAAGAATTTGTAAATACTTATGGGGATGTGATTATAGCCATATTTGCCCAGGAAATGGATCCATCAAAGGTAATGTATTTTTTTGTATTTAAAATATGGAGATCAGTAAAAAATATAACTTATTGTGTTATTTAAGGTTTGTCCCGTGCTACGTATTTGCCCATCAGAAGCATTATCAGACATGTTGAAAAAAGTTCCTAAAGAGTTTACCATTACAACGGAAAAAGATAAGCCTGGTTGTCCATTCTGTATGCTTGCAGTATCGCAAATTTATAATGCTATCAAAGATAATAAAACTGAGGTATTAATCCGTTGTTTGTCGTTGTTTATAATGGTTATATTTGACTATATATTTATTTAATGCAATATTTATATTACAGGCTAGCATTGAAGCTGAATTGGATAAATTATGTAACCATTTGCCATCTCATTTGATCGATCAATGTACAGATTTTGTGAAATCATATAGCAAAGAACTCGTAGAGATGATCCTTGCAGATTTGTCCCCTCAGGAAGTATGCACCTATCTTCATTTATGTGATCCAAACGAAGATCCTAATCCAAAACATAACTATATTACTGAGCAGGATGGAGAAATATGTGAGTCATTTCTTAAAGTGTGTATATAGTATATGTACACACACACGCACGCACGCACGCACGCACGCACACACACACACACACACACACACACACACACACACACACACACACACACACACAGAGGGTGAGACATTTAAAACTGGTTACCTGAATAACTCGCTTGTTTTTAACAATAGAAGGAAAAGTATGAAACAAAAATTGCTTGATTTCGAGGGGCACATAATGTGATGTCAATAATTGTTTTGTAGGTGGAGGCGTAAAGGATAGGCAAAAGTCAATCTGTTTTTTTTTTTAATGGAATAATATGTTTTTTTATTTACATTCTGATAGAGCATTTTGAGACGTGCACTTCGATCGATAGATAAATTCAAACTGATCAGTAAATATGGATAATGCTATGTGCGATTCAATGTTTATTTACAATCTTTTTAAGTATAGGTCACTGTATTCGTTTTAAAATGCTCTATTAGAATTATAAATAAAAAAACATTCCATTTAAAAAAACAGATTTGACCTTTTGCTTATTCTTTCGCGTCTCCACCTACAAAACAATTATTGACATCACCTTATGTGCACTTCAATATTAAGCAACTTTTATTTGATATTTTTCTTTCTATTATTAAAAACAAGCGAGTTATTCAAGAGACCTGTTTTAAATGCCTCAACATATAAATGAGGAATACAAGAATTTGTTAGAATTATTTTTTAATAATAGTATTTGTAAAAAAGAAAACCTATTTTGGAATATTTCAGTAACCAATGAGATACCTGAATATCCATTACATGTAGTTCAACCTAAGAATATTTTCGATTCTACTGAGTGTGTAATTTGTGAATTTATAATGAACTGTATCGATGAAGACTTTAAGAACAATAAGACGCGAGATGAAGTAGAAAAATTGGTACATAGTGTGTGCAATCATTTACCAAAAACAGCTAACAAGAAATGCAATGATTTTGTGGATGAATATGGTAACCTCATAATAAGTATTCTTTCGGAAGATATCAGTCCTAAAGAGGCCTGTCGTATGATGCGTCTTTGCGCTGGAAACATGGTACAAATTCGAGGTACAGAAATAATAATTATATATTATAAATTTTACTAATATTATATGCAAATGTAATTTAATTGTGTAATTTTTATGTACATATATATGTATATAATTATTAATTATTATAGAATCTGTATCTGAATGTGCCTTATGTCGGACAATTATATCGCAAATTGATAAGCTGTTAGGTGATTCAAAGGTAGACAATGAAATTGAAGAAACTGTTAAGAAGGTGTGCAAATATCTACCAGAAGATAAGCAAAATATGGTAATATCTTATTTTTTTATGATTTTTTTTTACGAAAAACATAACTTGAAAATAAAATTTAAATTTGTACAGTGCAAGATGATGATAGACATTTACGGACCTAGTATAATAAATATGGAGAAAAGTCATACTGATAGCGAAAAAATGTGCAACAAAATGGCTTTATGCTCTCCCAATGACTATTTTGCGTTATCACTTATAAATCCACATGTATCACGATCGATAAACGAACTTAAAAAGTGTACATGGGGCATACATTTTATATGCCAAGACGAGGAGGTAGCGAGACTTTGCAATGTAAGTACATAAAAACTGATACTGAGAGTTAATGGATGAACGATAGTTTTCAAGTTATTGATTTTGAATTAGGTTACGAAGCAATGTGAAGAGGCAGGCATTGGTGAATTTGGTAAACTTTCATAATTTTTTCAATTGCGAGTGATTGCACAAGCTGCAAATTGGAAGCAAACGTAAGAAGTGAACACAAAGTGTGATGCTCCTCAATTGGAAGTGTTAGACTTCTGGAGATATTAGCTATAGTCTATTTCATCTTATGATATTATATATCAATAATCTTTATTAAATCTCTCTAACTATATTCGGATACTCTCTCGGATAATATTGATCTGTGTAGACATGACGGATACCATTCGATTTTCGTATTTGAACCAAATAATACACGTAGTTTGCCGTACTTAAGTTACGTTTTGACGAAATTTTTAATAATGTCGCAAGAATCTATTTTCTTTCTGATTAAAATAAAATGCTGTTTTATACAATCGAAATAATATATTAAAAAATATGAATATCGTCTTTACGTGTATTTTTTTTTAGAGTAATAATTGACCTATATACCAATGATCTGTTATTTTTACTGTGATAATGGTAAAATAAAAACAATTTAATTCTGTATATGAATTGTATTCTTAAAATTGTATGACTATTATATATATTTTTTAAATAAACATATTTTCTTTTTTTGCATGTAGGATATATTACCTGGAAAATTTCCATTTCTCCATATTGCGATAATCTAAAATGTAATTCTTGAAAAAATTAAATTTTTAATTACACTTGACACAAACATTTTTATTTCATCGAGACAAATACTATTCTGATACTGCTTAATTCAAACGGAATTTATTTTTTCTCGGAATAATGTGAGCTTACGAAACGCATACATAAGAAATGAAATGTAGCCATCGCGATGATTGGGTAACAGGGGGGAGGGGAGAGGGGCGCACGATTGAGCGTGCACGTTGTCGATGGATTTATTAGATTATGTATAAGTTACACTAAATGACGAATATTACCAACTATCGTTGAAGACATATAAATTGTTTTTCGAAACGAAAAACGATTTTTGAAGTTACAATAATGATCTAGCTGGTGAGTTGATATTCCGCTACGCTTTTTCTATCCACTTTTTTCCCAATAATTTCCCAATAATTATTGGATTTAAAAAGAAATGAATATTATATATATAAACAGAAGAAGGAAAGTTTTAGTACTATTTAGAGTAAACATTTAGGCTGCGATCATATACATACAGGGTGACCAATGGGATTATGAAGTAAAATTAAATGATTACTTAATCCTTTACAATAAGTCCTGCGATTCCATTCCGAAGTGTGTTTCGTGTTCAAGCGGCGCGGGCGTTTGGTTAGCATTGTGTCTTGATCTTCATTTCCGCAAACGGAAGTAAATCTCTTCCGTATAAAAAATTTAAAATTACAGTGAAATATTCGAAAAGTGTTTTCAAAGAATTTATTTTTAATTACAGCTGACTTTGTGTAACCTTGAATCAGTTTCAATTATAGATCACCGTATTCATCTTAAAACACTTTATCAGAATGTAAATAAAAAACTATACCAATTTTAAAAAAACACCAAAAACAGGATTGATATTTTTTTGCTAATACTTGCGTTTCCAAGTACAAAGAAATTATTGATGTTACATTTTATGTTCCTGGAAACCAAGCAACTTTTGTTTGGCACTTTTCCTTCTATTGTTAAAATCAAGCGCGTTGTTCAGGTAACTTAGCTATAGATATCTTATCATATGTATTACCGAAAACAATCATATCATAAAAATGATCTTAATAAACTATATATAATAATATGCTACTTATGGATCTCGTTTTGTTGAAGACCGAAATATCATAACTGAGATACTTGCAAAGTGAGCATAATATAGATTCAAGGATTCAATAGAAATAATTATATATATTTTAATTTTGCTAATGTTATATGAAAATGTATATTGTATAATATTATATATGATTTAATTATTATACACAGAAATTCCGTATCTGAATGTATCTTATTACCTAATGACTAATTATATCGTAAATTTTAACAAGTTATAATGTATTGTATTTTTTTTAAATAAAGATATTCTCTCTTTTGCATGTAGGATAGTATATACAGTGGTGCCCTATTTGAAATTTCGGACGCGATTATTTCTCTTCTAAACTATTCGTTATTTTAGAAAATGTTTCAAATAAAACTTACTTCTTTTTTTAGGAGGATACTTCTTGATGATTTTATATCTTCTCTAGGTGAAAGTACCTTCAAAATTTTAAGATAATCTTTATTTTTCTTTAATGAAATTATATAGTTTTTTACAAAATATATTTATATGATTTCTCTAATTATTTTGCATAAAAAGTATTAAGAGATACCTAAAAATCAATAGTTTACAAGATATTTTATATATTTTATTTTTATGAATTAAAAATGACTTTCTATAAGAAGATAAAAAACGTACAACAATGCGAAACAAGAATGCGTTTTCACAAGAAAATTAACGCTTACTTTCTCTCATCATTTTTTATCCCTTATTGTATGATCATTGGTATATTTTACGCTTCTATATTAAAAGGTTTACACCGTAAAAGATAATTTTTCATCGCAATTTTACTTTCAATCTTCTAGTACACGATTAGGTAAACAGCGAAATGGTAATAACAATCGGTGAGAATACATAAGTTTGGAACATACTTTATCGGCGTACGCGACGTATGAAATTTTGCTCGGACAAAAGTAATTGTATATAAGGGAGAGTAAAGATTAAAGTAAAATCATGTAACGATCAAATCGTTTTAAATAAGAATCAGTAATCAATATAATATCAATTATATATGTTAGTCGTTATAAAACGAGACAGTCATTGATTCGAAAAATTATATGTCAGAGACAAATAAATAAGTCATATATGTACCAAAATATTTGAAAGATGAAAGTCATATGTTAAAATAAATTTTAAAATGAGATGTAACAATTCATATTTGTAAACTATTCAAAACTGAAAAATGAGAATAATGCAAATATATTTGCAGTATTGTTTTATTCATGGAGATATTTGTCCTCTGTTGGAATCATGCAGAAAATTGGATAGTTTGCGTGATACGCACGGAGAAATAAACATGTGGTTGCCATTATAGCAATATGTATGCGCACGCTTGATGTGCATGTTATTGTCGATGAATTTATGTTAGATTACGTATGAATTACGTGAAATAGCGAATATTACCGACTATTGTCGAAGCCATAAATTGTTTTTCGAAACGAAAAACAATTTTTGAAGTTATAACAATTCGTTATCCAGCATGTCAATGTCATTTAATCTGGAAGTACCATACGACTTATGTCTTGATCATCGTACGCTCAACCACTCAATAAATTCTACTACACACAATTTGTATTTAAAATATTGTACCTCAACTACGTTATCTTTGAAATGATGAGACAAAGCACGAAGGAAGTTTTGATCATACTCGGAACGATTTTAACTGGTGAGTTGACATCTTTTGTCGCCCTTTTTATATCCGCTTTTTCTCTTTAACACAATATTCACATATCTTTGAGTTCTTTGTACTCAAATAAAATATAATAGTTAGTAAATTTAAAAGTTACTCACAATTAAAATTAAATGTCACTCGTAGATAAAACTAATTATTTATAAAGTTTTAAATACCGGAATATTCATTGCAAAATTGAAGTACAAATATTACCTATATGCATTTAACTGTCAAATAAAAAAATGTTCTCTAGAAAGAAGTTTATATCAAAACAAGATTATTGTTATGTGATAAAAGAAAATATAAATTATAATATAAAAATAACTTATTTCCAACAAACACCAAGTTACAAATAACGTATACCAGCTGTTAGTTGTATTACAATTATATTACACACACACACACACAATTGTATTACTCAATAGGAAATTACAACTAATAAATACGTTATATTGCGAGTAACTTGATGTTTTTTGGATTTAGAATATATATATATATATATATACCTAATAGCTATTATATATTTAATCTAATTAATATGTATCAAAAATATCCTTTATACAATATCAATTTATTTAAAAATTTATTTTTTATTATTGCACTGGATGCATTTAAATTTCTTTCTTCGGTAAGACCTACACATATAGACGCACGATTGGTACGCACTATTTGGTTTTTACTTTTTACTTTTTATTACAACACTTACTTAAATGCTTGAATACTTAAAAAAGTTTAAAATAATTTTTCTTAATTATTTCAGTAATCAGTGAAATACCTGGATTACCATTACAACCTGCTGATATTTCAGATAATGGATGTACAATTTGTAAAATTGTATTGCAAAGTATGGATAAAACTATTAGTATAAATGACGATACACGGAAAGAAATTGCAAAGGTAGTACATAGTGCATGTAATTATTTGCCTGCACAAATAATTGCCACGGAATGCAATTACTTTGTGAATAAGTATGGTGACGCTATAATAGATGTCCTCTCAGAAGGTATTAATCCTAAAGAGACATGTACTCGGCTAGGTCTTTGCAAAGAAAGCATATTATAGATTCAAAGTATAGATATAATATTAGAATTTTTGCTAATGTTATATGGAAATGTGTATTTAATTATTTAATTCGACTTTTCGATATAGAATTCGTAACTAAATATGTTGAGCAATTATATCGACATTGATAAGTTATATACTTATAGTATTAAATTAGATTACAATTTAATTCATGTTATAATATATTATATTTAATATTTATATTATACACATATATATATATAAAATTGTGTTTTTTTATTAAATCTCTCTATGTTCGAATACTCGAATAATATTGATCTATGTAGAGACGATAATTGATATGCGATTCTCGAATATTTGAATTAAGTAATACGCATTTGCTATACTTATATTACGTTGATACACATACATTACAGAATTTTTAAAAGCACCATAAGAACTCATTTTCTTCAATTAAAACAAAATAAGTTGCTATCTCAAGTACATAATTTCTGTTTAAAAAACGTTGGTTAAAATGTTTCTTATGCTGTAAAAAAACGTGAAATAGACGTTGATATAAAATAGAAAATATATATTTAGAAAACAGTCAAAATATTTTATGAAAAGGTTTATTTTAAACTAGCTTTTAAAAAACGTTTAACATACGCTATATGTTACGTCTTATGAATATTTTTATATAACGTTTATTATGTAATTTTAAAAGCATATTAAATTTTTATCGTTTATTTTTTATTATACGGTATTTTTAACATTTATTAAACATAATATTGATCGAATTTTTATATAACCTAACTTTATATAATCTAAACAATTTAAGAATCTGAATTCTGTCTCTTTTATTGTATTTATTTTATATATATATTTAATTTGTAATAATAATTTGTCATTTTTAAATATGATAATAATAAA